GCCGTTCGCCGAGCGGCAACGGAGAAAGACAATAGGCCCTGAGGCGAGAACGGTGGCAGGAAGTGTTGACTTCGCGGCTAAGGTGTTCTTCGGGCTAGGTAAATTTGAACTAAAATACCATACAATGCATTCCATACGTCCACCATTTCAGATGTGTGCTAGGGATCTTGAAAACCTAACTTTATGTTATAATAGCCTACGAAAGAAACTTGGAGAGATCGGTCTGCCCAATTTCGACAACTTGGGAACCACCCGCCGTAGCCGTTTTTACTGCGTTAAACCCAATACGTCCATTAACAACAGGCGGGCAGCACCAGGAGACGACGGGAAGAGCAGAGTTTCCTGCCACCAGCGGTCTGGTGAACCGAAAATCAACTCTCATGATATTTGGGGATACAGAAATACCTGGTTTCATGGTGCAATGTGGTCTGGCAATGGTATCTCGCACGGCGCAACAATCGGATCCCGCATGGTTGCAACAATCCTCCGCATGGCGCAACAATCGGACATCGCATGGCGCCAGCAATCGGACCCTCGCATGGCGCAACAATCGCACCTCGCATGGCGCGACAATGCTCCAACAGGACTCGCTTTTGAAGGATACCTCATGACTTAAAGCACGATCTCCTGCCAATCGGGACTTACTTGGCACAAGCGTCGACGGTAATGGTCCTTTCTCCGTCAAGTAGGTGGGTTGGGCTCTTGACCTCGATCTCGAATGTGGGCAGTACGTATTCTTCCACAGCAAAATTTTTTGTTTCCGAACTCTCAGTCGTCTTCACATGGATACTCCAGCTGCCCTGGAAGTCATTTTCAGCGGCTTTTATGTGACTTCTTAGCATGAAATGCTACGGCAGTGTATCAGCAGAAGTACCTGAATCGCATCTTCATGGACGATTCATACAGCAGGGTGCAATTTCATATGAGAGTGGAGAGGGAGGGGGGTATAATTACATTAGGGAGACCCCTAGACCTTCATGCGACCTCACCAGGGGCGGCTCCTCGGTGAGCTGCACCTCCAGCTGGATCAGGCCTCCGCTGGTCTTGATGTCCCTCCACTGGGCGATGCGGATGTCGTCTGGGCTGGTCACCCACACCTCAGGAACCTGAGGTGGGTGGGCAAACGTGAAAGAAAACAAAAAACTTCTGCCACGTGGCCATTGTCGTACGTTATGCAAAGCTCTGCAGTCAACCGATTCCGCGACTCACTTCTTTCAGAATTAAGGCGCTTCTTTTCATCATGAAGTCAATCTAAAAGCCCCATTAGGAGCTGTGCACAGCTCCACACTACTTTTCCTTTCATCAGCAACAGTGTCGCCGCGAATGCCAAATAGGGACTTGGGCGGTGCTGCACCACTACCTTCATGAATTTCTTGGCGGCAACTGCAGCTACCGCAAATCAGTCGGCTGTAAATCACAGCGAGGTCCGACAGCTCACGTTTTCGATGATCGGCGTGAGGTCATATCTCAGGGATATGACACGGATCAGGACTTTATCCCCGGGGCGGTATCGGGGCTTGTCCGTCTGGATCAGCGTCACCAGCGTGAAGGCCTTGATGGACACCTGAAAAACAAAAAAACAACATTACGCCGGACGTCAGCTGCGTCAACATCGAGAACGTTTACCTGGAAATGGTCTCGGCATTTGTAAAACTATTTCGTGCGCCATTAGCGCCTTGCTAATATTTGTTCTTGCAGCTGTATGACCTCCAGCGTTGCAGCACCGGGAACGCCGCAGCAATGCAGCACCTGCAGCGCCTTGGGAGCCCCTTTGCCGGTACGGAATCCTTTTGTGTCAGTCAGAGTGCCTATACAGAGGCATCGCCGTGGATTTTTAGCTGTGCGGGGAGTTTGGTGGGACCACGGGGTCTCCTCAGAGGGGACATTTTAACACTGTCTTATTCAATAGGGACGGACATGAGTGATATGTATCTTTTTATGAAATTGCCAGCTGATATCAAAGCGAACAAATATCGACAGTTAAAAAATGTTCATGGCTAGGGTGGAGGGTAGGGGTGCCTTCTGGTCATCTAGTCAAGGTGTCTAAGGATTGTCGTGGAACAAGATCATCTGTTTCCGAAAGAGGCATCCTGATGCATAGAGGAGTTAACAGGATGCGGCTGATTGACGAAGGGGGTCTCAAAATGCAACGAAGGGGCCTCATTATCACAAAACAAGGCATCCTGATCATGAGTCGCGGTCATTCGATGCATTTAAGAGAAGTACTGTTCCAGAAATTGAGCCTCCAGACTAAAAAGGATGCCTCCTAACCCAGAACAGCGTCTGCTCGTTTGTAACGGGGCCTCCTGGGGCAGCAAAGGGACTTCCTTAACTAATATTAAGCCTTCTAATCTAGCGGATAGGCTACCCACATTCCAAAACGTAACCTCACGATCCAGAAAACTAGCTTTGTGATGTAGAAAAGCGAGCTTTGATAATGACTGGTAGCTACAATGCCTGTTGCTTGGAGAAACGTCCTTCATGAAAGTTTTAAGGGGGAAGAAACACGCTCTTGCCTTCTGCCTATCGGTAGGAGGGGGGGGGGGGGGGAAAGACAACTGCTTCTTCTGTGTCTATTTCAATGCAGGGTCACATTCTCTGATCAGAACGCCTCCTACGCCAGGAAGGGGATCGATGTGTGATGCATCGCTTCTAATGACTACCGCATTGATTACGGGGGGGGGGGGGCGTGTCACCAGAATGGTAGCCGGTAAGAATATAGTGCTTGGACGGGAAGACTCTTCAGTCCCTGACAGGGACAGGCAACGGTCCCCTTGGCGTTCTATCAGGGGACCCTCTGCCCTGAAAAAGTAAGGGGTTCTCCCGGGTTTCCATCGGCGTGGCACCTAAATGAATGCGCCCGTTGGCATCAGCAAAAGCAGATGAAAAGTTGAGAGCGTGAGAGCCTATTGCTGTGCTGTTTCCTCATCAAGACCGCGGCCGCGTACAGGCTCCACTGGAGCTCTTCATCAGGAGACCGTCGCATCATCCAGCGCATCTGCGAGTAACTGCGCGGACTGCTGCTGAAAACTGCATCATGCTTCCATCACCCCATGGAAAAGTGCTTATCACAAAAACCAAAAGTTTGGGTCGACTCAGCTTGCACAATTTATAAATATTAAGACGTGACCCACCCCGTCTATGGTCTTACTACTGTGAACTAGCTTGTGCATGAGACGTGAAATGCAATGAAATCAGATTGATAAAATGGCACTGCATGCAAAAAAACACATGAATGAATGAATGAATGAAAAAAACATGAAGGAAAAAGCGAGAAGAAACGTGGATGCAAAAAAACGCTGACACGCATGATGACTATATGCACTATTGTGTCATTAGCATACTCTGGAACACGCACTGGAGACGTCTCTGAGAAGAGCAGTCCGGCGGCGTTGGCAATGGTGAGAGCCAGTTGACCCGTTCCAATGGACGCCGAGCGCAGCACGACCAGATAAAAACAGTGCTCGCCATCAGCTGAGAAGGATGGCAGAGTCAGTGCAACAGCCAATCAGAAGGGCTGATCGGAACCTAGCCAATGAGAGCGTTAGTGAGGGCCGATGACACCTCGGGGCCGTTACTAGCAACATGGCTCTTCTCCACTCCACACGCTACCCTAGGGTTAATACCCACCTATTATCCACACGTCATCTGTTGTGTCTACCCGTCACTCACCCGTTTCAATTTTCCAGCGATTCCGTTATGAATTATGGAAGAGTTTTGCGGAATATTGCACCCAAATTTACTGTTGTGTGCTAATCACTACCAAAGTAGTTCGAACTGAACTCAATGTGACAAAAAAGTGCAAGTAACAGCAAAGTGCATAGCTTTTTAAGCATCTACTTGATATTTCCCTAATACCTTGCACATGCCCGCATCTACGCCCACAACATGGTGCGTCACGCAGCGAACCAGCGGCTTGAAAGCAGTACGAAGCTGCGTCAAAAGATAGCTCTGAGATTGTAGTCTCTGCTAGATGGCAGTAGGTGAATGTTTGCTCATATTAGCCAAACTTACTTACTTATGTAAATTTTTTGTCGCAATTTTCCACCGCAAATAAACCAAGAATACTTTTAAAGCAATTCGAAACCAGATGTCCCTCCCATTTGTTGATTTAAACAAACATTTCTCAATATTACAGCTGAATTCTACGCAATAGAAAGACTAAACGCCTAAAAGAGGGATGCATGCCACATTGATTGCATCCTTTGCCCAGATCGATATTGACACAACACTACACTTGCAACGCTTACCATAAACGGCGCCTGTTCCCGTATTCAAGACACCGATGCGCTGCTCAGTAACCAATGAGCGTGTATGAAGTGCTCATGGAACTTTACTAATTATTTCCTTTTTAATGGCCAACACATACACACACTGATGCCAAGTCCTAGTATGGCAACGGTCAAAGCAAGTGTCAAGACTTGTCGATGCTTTGTCGTCTCGATTTTACCAGCTTTCTTACCAACCATCTTAATCAAAACACAAACACGTTATAGGCGTTGTTTTGGATGCCACAAATCAGGTAAGATTAAGAGTGATTACATCAGGGGAAGTTTGAATAGTCCGTACGTATTCAATCAAGTGAAAATAATGGTTTTCCTTGCAGTTTTCATCGGAAAAATTAGGTAAAATGTGACTAACCTGCGCCCTGCTGGGCCCTTCTCCGTAACGCGGGCTGACAGGCCATCGCTAGTTCGCCGAATGTGACACTATGGTTTCCTAAAAGCTTGCACAAATCAACCCTTTACTCATTTGATGTGGATACGGATGGCTTTATCCGACACTTGCAGTCTTCTCGTTACTGCCAGTCACAACGGCAGGGGCAATTACTAGCCGCCAATCATGGTGGCAAAGCAATGGAGTTAGACAAAAGGACAGCCACCGCGACAAAAGATCACAACTGGGTAATCCGGCACACTGGGTATCAGTGTTTATCAGTATCAGGGTCAGTATCAGGTAACAGTGTCAATGAGCTTGCGGCGCAGGGGTATCGTCGGTAATTGACAACCACTCATCAGTATGTAGAATGTCACTGATGCCTCACCGCACGTACGTCACAGAGAGTGAATTAAGTATAAGTGGACCTGAAGGGGTTGAAATCCAAGACCCCACTGTACACGGCCCTTTAAAACTCACCGTCTACCGTGTCCGGTATCGGCTCCACCTGCAACGACGAGATGTCGCTCTCAGCCTCACCCGAGAGGGTGAGGCTCACGTTCCGCCCCGGCCCGGGCAGGTTGAAGAGCTTGACGCATACGCGCTCGTTGGTGCCCGTTTGTAGCCTCTTGGGCGCCGTGAAGAGGAAGCCGCTAAGGAAGGGGATGACGTCATCCGTTAGACGCGCTGCGTGACTGGGGAGGTCCTGCATCACAGCTGGGCTGGCGGAGTCCTAGAACAGTTGGAGGATGAGGCAAACGGCAAACTATGCACCACCTTATGCTACGATACTAAAATCCCGCATGTCCGCTCCCGCCCACGTGTACAATTTTGCGACGGTTCGAAAGGGCATGAACGAGCTGAGATATGGCTGCAGCCCAACATGAAGAAGGGCAAGAAGGTACTGAGCTGCGAAAGCGGGCAAAACCACGCCTGTGCGAATCTTCGTCCGACGCGATCTTTGCCGATTTGCGTCGCACGTAATAAATCCCAGGCAAAATTTCATTACATTCCGGGTTCTAATGGCGGCAGGCCGCTGGCTGTAACACGTGGGTTTGCGAGGTGATAATTCCGAACGATGACCGGCATAACGCAAAGCCGTTTCTTAAGTGTGGAGTGGGCTACGGCAGGGTTCGCGCAAGGCTTGGTATGCGGTACTGAGGGAAGACGTGTGACCTGTCTTAGGTAAACCTTGCGTGTTGCCAAAGGGAGTATGTCCCTCTCCGCTTATGTACGTGAGCCGGAGTGTTAATTTGGATCCTTTTGCGATGGTCCTAGCCCCCTCGAACCAATGTTCATTAACACGCCCCCACGTGGCCTGTTGAATTACCTTCGCGTGGTGGTCAATTTAACTTCCTCTGAGACCCCCCAAAAAACTAACAAAGCTGGAGAAACAATCCCATGGAGTGGTTTGGTCTGTATGCAAACTCACTTGTGCTAAATTTGAGGATCCTAGGTCATGACATTGGGATCAAATAAGGTCGAACAAGGTCAAACTCAAAATGTATGTTCAAAGTGCCCCAGACCTCCTCATGGAACCACTTTGAGCGTACATACCGCTGGTAAGAAAAATATCAGTAGTTTTTATGGAAGTTCCGTGACCTGGTTTGACCTTGGGAAGGTTATGGTGGCCGAAGTCCTGCAGAATTACTACTGTTTTGGCACTTGAAAATGCGTCACGGATTATGCTAGGAAGTATGCTACAATAACAAAATGTTGGCCTGAGCATCTTTAGGTCGGTGACGTGCTGCGACTTTAAAGAAATTCAAGGAACATGTCTGCTACGGCCCATGTTATTAGTAAGTTTAAAAGGAGCACCAGAACCTAACCCATAAAGCAAGCTGTCCAGTAAAAGAGCATATTGGTTTTGACCTTGGTCTGACCTTCATACATGACCCTTTGTCAATGGAATTCGCCTTCAGCTGACACACCGTTGTCACATCAGATTGAACGATTTCCTAGAAATGGCCTTAGTCGACCAACACCACCTGGCTTTGACCTGCCATAGGTCAGCAGCCTTGCAAGGTACATGCTATTTGAGTGCCAAAAGATCCACTATTGGATTGGCTTCAATTAGACAAAGCTTGGCGCGGCTATGTAGCGCCTTTTGGAAATCATTTCGGAAAACCCTTCGCGAGGAGAGAAGTCAAGTTCACCCTAATCAGAGCGCGTATTAAAACTCGTAATGTTTGCTTGGGTCTGCGCAATACCTTTTCGTATTGCTGTAGTATGATTTTCACCATTTTGTCATCTTTCGCTATGGCTCGACAGAAAGAGACGACGAGGAAGGCTCTCAAAACCTCTGGCGTGCCAAGCACCAAGCATTTGGGCTTTTTCAGTGTTGGCCTTCATCTCTTCATGGCAAAACCACTGGTGAATAAAACAGCATGTACATTGCTCAATACGTAGCTGGAGCCCGTCTAAAATATCTCGACTTTGTTCCCCTTCGACCAAGAAGGGGAACGTGCTTGAACCATCAGGACCTCACACGCGTCCGGCTGCTTGAAAGCCGCCGACATCGTCAGGGAACTAGCGGGTGTCAGCACCATGAAGTGAACGCCATTAACAACCTGGGGACGAGGGACAGTACCGAGCACTGCCGAGTAACGTCGCTGGCCGCAAGCGAGCGCCATGTACCTGGACCACAGCTGACCGGAGTCTCACACAGGGCCACGATGAATGCTGCGACAGCACTCTGCCAGGTCTGCGTCCCGCACCCGTCGATCAGCTCGCTCCACTCGTGGGACTCTGACGCTGTGAGATAATGGATGCAAATGAGTGCAGTCTCCCGCAGTGGCTAATCTTGCCTTTGCCTCCATGCACAAACCCAAGACTGTTGATTGCAATCACATCTTGCGAAATATTTGCACGCCCATGAGGTGGATAAACGCGGCCAATAACGGCAAATTCGTATATATCAAACCGATCGTGTCGGATCCAATCCACGACCGCACGACCCATCTGTTGCTCCAATATTCGTTCGGGGCTATATTACACGTGTACATTTGAGCAGCTCATTTTCCTGTGACAAGAACTCTCGCCTGGATATATTGCTCTTTCTAGCCCTGACATCAACAGGCCACAGTCAACCCTCCGTCACTTTGCTGTCAGTTACTGTCAGTATCCGTCAGTTACCTGGATAGAGCACGCGTTTGAGCGACGGACGTGAGCTGAATCTGGCATTCCAGTGCATCAGGGCTAGAGGCCAGTTGACATGGGGTGCTGGCCCAACACTCCATTCTGGGTCTCGGTATCTCTGGTGTGCCTGACTGTCACCGTCCCGCCTGCCGCGGTCCCTGTCTCCGCCTCTGCGGCCTCTTCTGCGCCTGAATGCTGCCGGTCCGACCGGCCGCCGTCTGGCCGGTAGTCTGCTGTACAGCGCCCTTGGTCTCAGACGCTGCGGCGGCCGCCGGGCACCCCTGGCCCTGACAATGTTTAGCCTGCAGCTCTTTAGCTCAGCTTTTTCGCTCACGCTCTGTTAAGTGTCCGGTCAGGTTGGTACGTCACTGTTAATACGTTGGAAACGCCACCTGCTTGACGACTGGCATTTCATCATCCTGGTGCCGGTATGTTCTGTACGGCTCGCTGCACCCAGAACCGTTGCTATCCAAAACGGAGTCCAGAGGGCCAAGCACACCTCATGCCACGGACAGGCTGGACGAGTGGCTTGTTTAAGATACACTGCTCGGATTGCTGGCGTCAACTGAGCCTGTGCACCAGGTGTGGGGCTGGGGCCGGCCGCAGTACCCACTGAGCATCACCAGGTGCGGACTGGGGCCGGCTGCAGTACCCACTGAGCATCACCAGGTGTGGGGCTGGGGCCGGCCGCAGTACCCACTGAGCATCACCAGGTGTGGACTGGGGCCGGCTGCGGTCACCAACGCGCAGCACCAGGTGTGGGGCTGGGGCCGGCCGCGGTCGCCAACGCGCAGCTCCAGGTGTAGGGCAGATGATGATGATGACTTGGGGTTTAGGGCGCATCGACTGCTGTAGGTCATGCAGCGCCCATAACTATCAAGTTATGCAGAGTCGTCAATCAGAAAAGTGCATCAATCAGGTCACCCTAAAAAGCCTTGATGATCAGCCATCAGCATTTTGATATGATTTTGATTTTGATCAGATGATCAGCATTTTGATGAAAAGGTTACTGGGAAATCTATAGCGCGAAGAAACTGGAGCACTTAACCAAACTTGACGGCGTTCGAAGAATCCCGTAAAAAGTCACATAGCGAGCGACTCTGGACGTGGTGTCCGAAAAACTGCGCTTTCGTTGCAGTAAGGTGGCGGCAAGCGACCAGTACGTGATGCACGGTCAGCGGGTCAGAGCATCGACTGCAGCATGGTCTGTCGCCAGCCAATAGCAGGTGACGGTGCGTAGCATATGTGTGACCTATGCGTAACTGGCAAAAGGGCAACTTCTTCCACCCCATTGTCCCGAAAGCACGATGCCATAGTCCAATACGGGGTTTCAGGGACTGCAGCTTGTTGGCGCTCAGCGAGTTCCAGTGGAACTGTCATCGCTTCTGTATAAACAACGACACAGCGGGGTACATGTCTTGAGCTGGTAGTGGTGTTATAGGAATGCGTGTCCCTGTCGTAGCGCGCTTTGCTGCCGCGTCAGCAAGATTATTTCCGCATATCCCCACGTGATTTGGGATCCAGCATAGAACGATCATTTTTCCTGCTCGATCCAGTGAGCTAAGACGCGATTTAATGTCCTGGACCAGTGGATTCGATGGGGAGAAACCGCCAACAGCCAGGAGACTGCTCAAGGAGTCGGAAAGAATAAAATGCAAATTGCTATCGTCCACTTAAATAAAACAGAGAGCTTTGCTGCTGGCTATAAGCTCGGAGGTGAAGACCGACGCGTGTGAAGGTAGTGTGAATGACCGTGTTGTGGATCCACACACAGAAGCGCACGCTACACCTGCGTCCGTCTTCGAACCATCCGTATAAGTCATCATGTACCCGTCAAGAGAAGCTATGTGTTCTAAGGCTGCCCTTTAAGCCCCGTCATGAGAACGCGTTGACTTTACATGCTTGATAACGAAACATCCACTCTTGGCGATGCTAGCTCCTGAGGAGCAGTCTTCATGGGTTTACGTCTGATGACACGTCGTAGGTTCAGGCCGCTCGCGTCTAAAAGTTCCCTCATTCGTGCACAAAAGGGGGAAGTTTGTGGAGACCGTTGACGTAGAAAAAGCCTTTGTAAGTTACGCGAAAACACTGCTTTGTAGGTGGGATGATCCGGGAACTGCGCCAGCTTGCACGTGTGGCGTAGTCCAAGCATCTGCCTTCGCAAAGCTAGTGGGGGCTCGTGGCGAGTCTTGGTGCTGGGTCACTAGCGGGTGTTGGTGCTGAGCTACTGATGGGTGTTGGTGGTGAGCCACTGATGAGTGTTGGTGCTGACCCACTGACGAGTGTTGGTGCTGGGCCACTGGCGAGTGTTGGTTCTGAGCCACTGGCGAGTGTTGGTGTTAAGCCACTGGTGAGTGTTGGTGCTGAGTCGCTGGCGAGTGTTGATGCTGAGCCACTGGTGAGTGTTGGTGGTGGGCCACTGATGAGTGTTGGTGCTAAGACACTGATGAGTGTTGGTGCTGAGCCACTGGCGATTTTTGGTGCTGGGCCACTGGCGAGTCTTGGTGCTGGGCCACTGGCGAGTCTTGGTGCTGAGCCACTAGCAAGTGTTGGTGCTGAGCCACTGATAAGTGTTGGTTCTGAGTCACTAATAAGTGTTGGTGCTGAGCCACTGATTAAGGTCGGTGCTGAGGCACTGGTGAGTGTTGGTGTTAAGCCACTGATCGGTGTTGGTGTTAAGCCACTGATGAGTGTTGGTGCCGAGCCACTGATTAAGATTGGTGCTGAGGCACTGGTGAGTGTTGGTGTTAAGCCACTGATCGGTGTTGGTGTTAAGCCACTGATCGGTGTTGGTGTTAAGCCACTGATGGGTGTTGGTGTTAAGCCATTGATGAGTGTTGGTGCTGAGTCACTGGCGAGTGTTGGTGCTGAGCCACTGGCGAGTGTTGGTGCTGAGCCACTGGCGAGTGTTGATTCTGAGCCACTGGCGAGTTGTTGGTGCTTGAGCCACTGGCGTAGTGTTGGTGCTCGAGCCACGTGGCACGATGGGTTGGTTCTGAGCCAGCTGATGAGTGTTGGTGCTGAGAGCCACTGGCGAGTGTTGGTTCTGAGCCACTGATGAGTGTTGGTGCTGAGCCACTGGCGAGTGTTGGTGCTGAGCCACAGGCGAGTGTTGGTTCTGAGCCACTGATGAGTGTTGGTGCTGAGCCACTGGCGAGTGTTGGTGCTGAGCCACTGGCTAGTGTGACTTGTCGCTACCGTCGTCCCCGGCGGTTACGGTGAAGTAACAGTGCGTCAGTTACCATGGGATGGAAGGCATTCAATTGAAACCACATGTGCAATGTCGGGTGGTTTTGGCTGCTTTCGGCCATTGTTTCTTTGATGGCAAGGCCGTATTTTCGTAACGCACATTTCATGGTAGGCTGTGCAGTAAAAGCGGTAAAACTTCGTTTATTACGCGGTTTTGCTATTCTAGAGCTTCCGATTTTTTCCACAAATGCGCCAGCTTAACTGCAACAATAGCAGCATGTATATTTACTTTCATTCCTTTTCTTAGCTTGCCTCAATTGCTCATTTCCTTAGAGCGTGTGCATTTCGACTCAGCTGCTGATGGCGGGCGCAAAATGGCCCCGGTGCCGACGCGCCCTTAAAACCAAATCACCACCACTCACCTGCTGGTGACGGGGAGGGTTCGGGTCGCATTATGGGCTCGCTATTTGGCCTTGGCTGGCATGGGCTGCAGCCGGTGGCAGCGGGCTGGGTAAAGGTCAAGGGACGTCAGACGGTAAGATGGGCACCAAGCATTCCATCACGCCAAGCTTTCGCCTCTAAGTTATTCCGCTGTCCGGGATTCTCATGTTTGGATGGCAGCGTCGAGACCCACGAAATAACAACCAGGTTATTCCACCACCAAGCCATCAAAAGGCTAGGAGTTATTATTGACTCCGCAGTGAATAAACACGTGACAACTGACCCATTGGACTGTATTTTTAGAGCAAAGCAAATCAGGGCAAATGGCCACGGATGCCTACCACCCACTCGTCTAGCATCCAATGAGAGCTCACTACACAGCAGCCTCTTCAGCTCACTTCGATTCCGGCCAAGCTTCTCTGTCACACACACTGGCCCACACCGTCGAACGAATGGGCCGGTCATCAATCACCCCGTCCGTCTGATCTGTCAGGTCATCCATAAATCCATTCCTCTGAAGAGTCTTGTCATCCATCACCCCACCCCTCTGATCTGTCTGTTCATCCATCACTCCATCCCTCTAACCTGTCTGGTCATCCATCGCCACATCTCTCTGGTCTGTCTGGTCATCCATCAGCACATCCTCTGACCTGTCCGGTCATCCATCACCCCGTCTCTCTGACCTGTCTGGCCATCCATCCCTCCATTTGTCTGATGTTTGGTCATCCATTCCTTCGTCCCTCTGACCTATCTGGCCATCCATCAATCCATCCCTCTGACATGTCTGTTCATCCATCACCCCATCCCTCTGACCTGTCTGGTCATGCATCATTCCAACCCTCTGACCTGTCTGGTCATCTATTACACCACCCCTCTGACCGGTCTGGTCATGCATCACCCCACCCCTCTGACCTGACTGGTCATCAATCACCCCATCCCTCTGACCTGCCTGGTCATCAATCACTCCGTCCCTCTGACCTGTCTGGTCATCAATCACTCCATCCCTCTGACCTGTCTGGTCATGCATCACCCCACCCCTCTGACCTGACTGGTCATCCATCATCCCATCCCTCTGACCTGTCTGGTCATGCATCATTCCATCCCTCTGACCTGTCTGGTCATCTATATCGCCACCCCTCTGACCTGTCTGGTCACGCATCATTCCAACCCTCTGACCTGTCTGGTCATCTATTACACCATCCCTCTGACCTATCTGGTCATGCATCACCCCATCCCTCTGACCTGTCTGGTCATCAATCACTCCATCCGTCTGACCTGTCTGGTCATCCATTACTTCGCCCCTCTGACCTGTCTGGTCATCAATCACTCCGTCCGTCTGACCTGTCTGGTCATCCATCACTCCATCTGTCTGACCTGTCTGGTCATCTATAACACCACCCCTCTGACCTGTCTGCTGCCAAGAGCATGTGCCTGGATCAGGACTGTACCGCACAACAGCTTTATGCTGTGGTACAGGCTAAAGTTCCTGGTTTGATATCTGAGAGCCTAGGCCAACACGAGCGCGAGGGGACGTTGTTTGCACTAGCCGTTTTCCCAATGGATAAATGACATGATAAGTGATTCAAAAGTTTGTTTAAGGTATGCATGAATTATGAGTACATAATAAGCATTCCCATAAGGAAAAGATTGGCTCAAACAATTCCATTAATGTGCAGGAAGTAAAACACATGCATCCGACTAAGCATAAGTTTGGTATGTTAAACGATCCCCTTTATTAACATTCTTCAAGCCATGGCTTCATTTCACCCGAATTCTATAAAAATACTACGCCTAGCAATCAGCAATATGCATCAGTTGAGAGCGATGGATGCCGGTTGTCCCATTATTGTAAACATCGGTGCTGTGTGGAGTAAGGCGGACTCTCAGGATCATATCGTTCAATGATAAGCCATTTGTGATCATGTTAAGATATGTAAGGCCTGCAGGCCCTGTAAGCGCTGTAAGCAATGTCTGTAAACAAGGTACTGTTGGTAAGTCATGTAAGAAATGCATACCTAGGAACGACACTACAATGATATAGGAGTTCGCGTTGCCAAGTCTGTGTCAGAGATGCCGCCAGATGTTTAAACAAGTTTTAACATGTTGCGGTAGGAAAAGATCTGACATCATATCTGTTCATAAAAAGATGGGCATGCTTATAGCCAGTTAACCACAATTTTATCAAATATTGCGTTATTACAAACATGTTTTAAAATTTAGGCTAGCGAATTCTAGCGGAGCGTTGCTGATGAAAGGTGCGAGGTTAGAAAATAAACGCTGTAACGTTTTAAAAAGGTATCAAAAGGCATTTTGAGTGAGTGGTTAGTGTGACCGTACCACCCATTTCCACAACATGAATTTAAGTCACAAAGAAACGCTTTGACAGCTTTTATTTGCACCCGTTTTGATTCTTCTAAATAAAGCGATGAAGTAATGTAATCAGGTTTCAGACCAAGTAATGCAATCATACTTCAGGTCAAGTAATCTTATCAGACTTCATCCAAGAGTCTTCGGACTTCACTTTTCTCAATGAGTGAATCGAAAACTATTCCTTTTTATAATCAGCCAGGCAGCTCCCGAGATCTCAGAGGGGAGAATGACAAATTCCACGCAATTCACCCGAAATACAAACTGATCCTACCAGTTCGACGAAGGTGGCGGTGTGCAAACGTGGTACAGTTATATGTACCAGCATCCACAAGCATTCAAAACGTGCGATTTGACATTGCACTGTGCCTTGCGTAGTTGTTTTGTGCCTTGACAGAAGTGCGAAACAGACTTCGTCATAGTGGGCAGCGTCTGATGTGCCAGCTGTAACACAATTCAAATGCAGGTGGTGTTGGTAAGCGGCATCACCCCACCTGCAGCGCTTCTGAGCTGTATTGGGAGTCGTGCCTTGGCGTGGGGCTCATCTCATGTGTGGTGTCCTGTGCCCTGTATTCGGTCGGCAGTGTTCAGCTCACAATGGAGCCGACACGCTACCGTTGAACAATTACCGCGCATGTATACAACTCGTCTCGCCACGGTAAAGAGGACACGCAGCTCAGCGGCGGACGGAAGCACATTCAGGCGGGTGGAGTACCAGCAGCTGAACGGTTTACCTTTCAGGCGCCTTCACTGCTCCCGCCGCCGCCACGCATGTCAGCAGCAGCACCACCCACAGCTTCATCACGATCACTGGGGAGCCGCCAGGCCCACTACTGACCTAGCCGGCGACTCTCCGAAGCCGATAACGCCGCGGCTGCCGCAGAGCAGGTGAGGGCGCCACTGTCGCTCGGCCGGCCCGAGGGCCACGTACGGGCTGCGTGGAGCGCCCTCTGGTGGCGAGCTGGAAAACTGTCCGTGGAGCCCCTGCTATCGTTGACACCATTGCAGCTGTGATGAAGCCGCCTGTGTTGCCGGGAGCGTCTGAGAGCGAGTTTACCCTGTCCCGTGCTCGCCGTTTCCATAGGCACGTGTGGGTGGTCTTTCACAAGGCCGCCAGGCGGGGGGAGGGGGGGGGGGGCAGGGAACCTGGAGATCCGGTTTGTTTGACGACTGCTAGACAAGCATGAATCAGCGCCTGGAATACCTGGGTCCGCGGAGACGAAGTGTGGTTTTGTCAGCTGCAAGGATTTGGTGGCAGCTAGCCGGCCTGCACCGGGCTCAAGTCCATGTCAGGGTTGGGTGCACAGCTTTTGGGTGGAAAAGAGTGGCTGGTTGTCGTGTTTTCTTTGAGATGCATTTGTTGTAAAATTATGGAGCACTCCCCAGGTACGCCACACAATGATCTACGAGGTGACATTTTCCATCTGACAATGGCGACTTCAACACCAAGTCCGTACATTTTCTCGCATGGCGTGGTGAGCAATATGTTGCAGACAACAAATGTGCAGGAAAGAAACACGCACCCGTTTTCGCGGACTTCATTTTTGGGAAATAGGTAGTGTTATGACAATGGCTAAATTGTGCTGATTGAGTCCGAGATATGTGTAGCCTACACCAAGGCCGCATGCACTGATTATCTGGCTGGGTGGTCCCATGCTACCGAGCGGATTATATTAAAAAGCCGGTCGGACATTTCGCAACTATTCTGGCATTAGGCTTCTGTATCACAGGGCTCAAAGAGTCACCCGGTAACGGTGACAGTTTGACTGGGCTCATTTGGCGCCGATCTAGGTCAGCTAATTGCTCAAACGGTGGTAGCCCTTATCTCTCAGCTCTCCTTTTGGACGACAGAATGTGTCATGACGCGTTGTGCTTCCGTTTGATAACAACAGTAGGTACAACTAGAGAGCTCCCCAATAGAACCTCTGACTGACACATGACTTTCCCAATGTCATATTGTTCACTCTCATCGTAAATTATCATATCCACATTCATTGTCAGAGGTCCCCGACCAGCCCAAGAGGCCCTCTAGCATCCGGGGTCCAGTCGTCATCCCTGTTCAGCAAGCGAAACTCTAGCCGACTCGAACCCCTTGCCGACACAGGACCATCTGTTACGCTCTGCGGATCCCTGACCGACACAGTGGTCTCATTGTTTCAGGAGTCCCAATTAATGTAAATCGCGAATCATGGCCTTGTCCTTGTTTGGGGAATGGCCTCCCGGAGCTCAGACTGCAACAGAGTCGACTGATGGTCAACCCGTCAACCGTCAACGCCGACTGATGGTCAACCCGTGAACCGTCAACGCCGACTGATGGCCAACCCGTCAACCGTCAACAGAGCCATCAGGATCCGATCAACCCGGGGACGCGGGCGAAGGGGCACGACGACCCTGAGAAAACGATGATGAAGCGCAGTGAGAGGACCGGATGCGAGAATTCGGGTGAGGAGGAGAGAATGGGCGGGACAAGGAGCAGGAGCTCACGCGCTGGCAGGGGTGCAAGGCCCTGAGAGGAACAGCTAACGCTGTCAACCTGTTACCACGGCTGGAACCCGAGGGGGCGCTAGTTACCTACACCGGCTGAAGCCTGTGTGATGGTGTGCCTGTGCCTGGATGGATGGAAGCCTGTGTGATGCATCATGAAAGGAAAACAGAAAATACTCAAATAAATACGGTACGAACGCGGAGCTTGCAGTGTGACAGCCTCAGCCAGCTGCACTAAACTGAACATGACATCGCAGTTTTCACTCTGTTTCTCTTGCCTGTAAAACAGTCAGAAGAAAACTAATTCAAATTTGACATAATTTTGATCTTCCGCTTTAAAAGCCAGTCCCCAAAATATCAGAAATTGACACGCGTGGTCGGTTAAACATGCGTTGCATTCTAACCGAATAAGACATAGATCAAACTTGCAGCCACTGCATAATGGGCGCAGCGTACCAAACATGACTGGCGGCATGCAGCCGTTTTCTTGACGCCACGGAGGGGGAGGGATAGCCGAACCTATGATACCCAATCTGGTGCTCGAGAAAGGGGGGGGGGGAGCGGGCTCAATCGCTAATCTTGGAAGTCAAACATCTGATACAACAGCTCCATAGCTGACTCTGTTCGGGTATGGCAACGCTCCCGGGAAGGTAAGTTGAATTCCACACGCCTACCCCTTCAATGACGACCTCACCCCCACCCGGCACGTTCCGTGACCTAAATTCGCAATGCGCAGGCATCGGTGGTTCAGTGGTAGAATGCTCGCCTGCCACGCGGGCGGCCCGGGTTCGATTCCCGGCCGATGCATCTTTGGCTGAGTTTGACTCTGCTGTTAATCCCTCAGCATATCATCAGCACAAGCCGAAGCGCATGTGTTTCGCTCCACAATGCTACCCGCGTTACATCGTATGTTTCGCATTACAGCCGCAGCCGCGTGTTCCTGAGGAACACGAAATATTGTTCATGATACGGGGATTAATGTTTTCCCCGCGACCTACTTGTGAAGGGCAGTGATAGGTCATGGTATAAAGCAAAGCAAAAGCATGCGCTTTCCGTCTGACGATGCCACCTGTGTTGCATGTGTTTGTTTCGCATTGCAGCTGCAGATGCTACTGCGGAATAACAACACTGTCGACGATGCGGTAAGTTATGTTTCTTCCGCCACCTGTCTGGCACAGCACAAGGATACGTCATGATATGAAGAGGCCTTAAAGGCGGTTTTTTACAGTTGAAAATATTTTAAAAGCGTCAGATGTAACGAAACAGGCTCACTTATAGCTATTGGCATGCTTTTGGAGTGGAAAAGCTCGAGACAGCAAAATTATCTGTTATCGAGAAAGTAAAATGATCTTGCCTGTCATGGTGCTCAGCTCCAGCTTCGTTGTCCTACCTTCAACATTCAGAGTTTCACAGGCTGACTTGGACACAAAAAAAATGCATCTGACTGGGCATCAAGTACACACACACTAGCAGTTGATGCTCAGCATACACTAGCATTGATGCTCAGCATACACTAGCAGTTGATGCTCAGCACACACCAGCAGTTGATGCTCAGCACACACTAGCAGTTGATGCTCAGCACACACTAGCAGTTGATGCTCAGCACACACTAGCATTGATGCTCAGCACACACTAGCAGTTGATGCTCAGGGTTGTTAGCGTGCCTCAGCAGTACAGAACCAGTGAGTGAGTGCAGCTCTCTCCTTCAGTGCCTACCACAGGGCCTGAGCGGAAGGACGTAGCCTGCGGGGCACTGTCAATCATCCTCTGTCCTCCGTATGTGTGCGGTCTCCAGTTTTCTCAAAAGTGGTGCATCATGCAGCACTGTGGGATGCCATCTGCCACACTTATCACACTTGGCTTTTGAACGGCATTCCTTCCACCTGTGTCCTCTCTTCAGGCAACATCTACCTAAGCCCAACTGGTTCACTACGTCGCTGTGTTCACCAACAGTCATCTTCTTAAATGTGTCACAGTCCTTGATTCCATGTTGCTTTTCACACAACACACGACTGGGGACTCGTCTTGTGTGCTTAACTTCAGTTAAAGACATGAAAGTTCTGGTCTTGCCTTGCGCGTTCCTCTTTGGAGCAGTTTGCTTCTATTCATGTGAAGGTACAGCAACTGGTCCACAGGCTATCCTTGCTTCAACGCTGACAAAGCGAACAAACTCCGAGAAGGGTGGATGTCTCCCTGCACTTTTTCCACTGCAGGGCCACGTATCCACTTCTCTCTTCCATCTGTCTACCACGTACTTTGGCAACTTCCTCACCGTCATCCGGATCTCCAGATAGTCATCCAAAATTCCACGATGCTGAGGAGAACTTGCTGCTGCAGCTTGGCAGTGCTCCATTAAGTCAGCAAAATCTCTGAGGGCACGCCCATCTCCACTTCTGACCGCAGTCCAGTCTAATATCTTCATGCGATAGGCATTCGACACAACAAAGTCATTTCCAAACCTGTCCGTCACTCTTCCGTTTGCCTGCCAGTACGCTTCATCTGTTATCAAGAAGAGCAGGCCCAGGATGGCTGTCTTAGCCTCACCTGCAGTATACTTCCCCAGGAGGTGAAGTTTTTGAATGGGAGAGCTTGTTTGGTGTTCAATGCAAGTCTCAAATGACTTGAGCCACGCTGGAAACTTTTCCACATTGCCCATGAAGATATCTGGTTCCAGTGTTGGGAGCTTGCTGCCCTTGTACCTCTCAGTGCGCAGGTCTGTGAGTCTGTACAGCATGTCTTCAGTCTTGAACCTTTCATCTTCAGCTTGAGGATTGGCTGTCTCGATATGGACAGCTTCAGCACATATGGCATCAGCATGGGCAAGTCTGACATTAGTTGCTCTTCTTGTTACACCATCTAGGCTAGTTTCAGCACATTGCACGCGGTCCTTCTTTTCCATCTGGGTCAAACTGGTCAACCACCTTCAGTTTGGCTTCAATGCTATTTCTTTCGGTTTCAATCTCTAGTTCTTCTTGTTCCAGCAGCAGTTGCTCTTGCTTTTGCTTCAGAAGCAGCCTTTTCTTGTTCATTGCAGCACTTGTCTCCAGCTCAGCTCTTTCTTGCTGCATCTTCAGCCTCATCAACACAACCTGTGAATTCATTTCGCTGCTGGAGTGTGACGTCCGGCTCGAATGTGAACCACTGGCTTCAGATCTCGCACAAGTGGCTTCAAGTAAACCAACAGAAGACAAGTGGACTTCCATCTTACATTTCATTTCATTCACTTCTGCAAGATTTCTGGCATGCTTCTCTTGCAGGTTTTCTCTTTCTTCGTCTTCTATCAGAGAACAGAGCACTTCATAAGCTTGAACTAATTCAACATAATCATGC